CCTGTTTTTAGGGATGAAAAGAAAAGAAGAGGGTCCCATCCATCCAACAGTCACATGAACACTTATTGTTCACTGTTATAAGAAGTGTTAAAAAACAGGTGTTCTCAAAGAACTACAATCTATTAGGAGATACCTTTGGCTGAACCAGGAAATAATTGTTTGGTTTTATGTAGATTTACATAACAAAAATGAACATTTGCGTGCATCTCAGCCAATTTTCCGTACATTTTTTACTACCTAACTTAAATGCATCTAAATATTTACTGCTACAGCCTCGGTGACACATTCTGAACCAACATGGAGTCAGAAGGCCTGCGCTGGGGTCCTGGCAACACTGCTTAAAAACTGTAGGTCCCCAGGCAGGTTGCTTAACCTTTAGTCCAGTTTCTCAGCCTCAGTTTCTTTATCTGTAAAACGTGGATAATAATACCTACTTGCATGATGTTATGCGAATCAAATTATAATTAATAATATACATGAAAGACCCTCCCAACTATAAAAGATTTTAAACACACTGGTAACAATTAGGCAAAATTCTCAACATACTGAGGTTTAAACTCCTGTAGCCCCGCTTTCCCCTTTCAGTTTCTGTCCTCTCTCTGCGGTGCCTTCCTCCCTGTGTCCACAGGCCCTCTCCATCATGTCTGCCCCTGGAAGGCCCCACAACAGGCCTTCCCACAGGATGCGTGGGAACATCTCCCCCACTTTCTCCCCTGCATAAAACCTGCTTTCGACTTGCTATACAATTTAATGTGTTACCTCTCCAGAGATAATCTGAACTTTAACAGAAGATCAGCGCCTTAGCCCAAAGGAATGACTCTCTAGGAACTGCGGTTGTCAATGACAAGTTGGTAGGAAAGTGGCCCAGGGTCCACCCCTGGGTATTTCACCTACTCTGCCTACACGTGGGGCTGCACTGGCTCTGGAGGTCTTCATTTCTGTTTGTGACAAACAGAGGATCTCAGGTACAGAACATTACTAAGAACAGATATTTAATTTTCATAGAACTATTACAATAAGATTAAAGATGTTACTTGATTTCCTTGCTATAGTTTTTCCTTAAAGTGAGCCTAAACCTCTCTCCCTGAAAATTAAGTCTTATTTTGCCCTCTTGAATTACACAAAAGCGTCCAAATTTCATGTAAAAGCCCTTTAGATGTCTAGAAGGGGCTGTCCCGCCCCCACCATTTTTCCCTGGGTCCATCACACCCTCGGCCTCCCCCAGCTTGTAGCAGACTGCCTTTACGCTTCTGTTTACATTTTCAACAAAGCCTGCACTCCAGGCCTCTCCCGAAGTGTGGCTCCCAGGACCGAACACAGCACTATGGGTGTTGTCCACTGTAGATAATCAAGGTTCGAATCTCCAGTGAACCTGAACGATTCCAGGAAGGAATTTTTCCACACAGGGAGAGCTTCTCTCCTTACCTTTCTTTGACTTCCTGTAAATAACTCAATACTGGCCTGAATCAATGATGTTATCAAGTCTGCCACACTATAAATAAAATCTTCCCTTCCGTTGTTCTAGGAGAATCCACAATTCTCACACATGTTAAAGTATAATAGTATGGATATTTCTAGTCTAAGGTTATAATCACAATAACCCAGCAATGTATATGATCAACTATACCAAATATTTCATCTACGTAATCATATCCAGAGAGACAGATAATGCGACTAATCATCTTTTATTTAAGAATGCTTCAAATACACTGTTAATCTGGAAGGCTCTTGACATTTCAAATAGAGTATTCAACTGTGTTAATCAAGTCTTAAAGATCTTGTTGAGAGATTCAAAAAGGAACATCCTTCTCATCTATATAGAAAACGCTAGCCTTTCCCTAGCTCACAACCCTAAATCTCTGCAACACAAAAGCTTAACCCAATCAAAGCTCATGAGCAGATGATTTATAGTTTCCAATGAGAATGTAGGAGCATTGTGGATAAACAAGGAAGCTCAAAGACTGTGTGAAAAGACCAACAGGGCCTGGGATGGAGTCTGGCACAATGAACTGTAAGTGTTACTAAAAGGGCAAAAAGCATTTTTTCAACAAAGTCTGCAAAGACACCACTGGGTTAGAATCTAAAATCTTGTTTCCCAAAACCTGTTACTCTGAATACCATACAGTAAGAAGTCCATTTTTGATCCTGAAACATACAATTTAACTGACTTACTGGAAGGTGATTAGCACTGGCCAACTCTGAATTAAAGGTAAAATGAAGTCATATGTTAATGCACAAGCCCAATTGCAAAAAGTTTCCTATAGAAACATGCTAATTGGCAGCAAGTAACCAAGAAATCTGATGGTCAACACAAGGACTATGTGATTGCAAAGTTTAGAGGCATTTACACATTAAAGAAATACACTCGCAGAGAATGAAAAGGAAAGCTACCCTACTCCAGAGAGGAGATTAAAATAGGGTGACTAGCCTTCCAGATATATTTAGCCCATAGTACTTTGTAATATTATTGGCCTTGAAAGTAGTGAAAAGGATGATTTTAATAGCAAAAGCTGACAAAAAGTTGGGAAGGGCTATGAAAAATTCAAGTAATTTTTTTTTTAAGGATTTTATTTTTTTTTCCTTTTTCTCCCCAAAGCCCCCCAGTACATAGTCGTATATTCTTCGTTGTGGGTCCTTCTAGTTGTGGCATGTGGGACGCTGCCTCAGCGTGGTTTGATGAGCAGTGCCATGCCTGCGCCCAGGATTCGAACCAACGAAACACTGGGTTGCCTGCAGCGGAGCGTGCGAACTTAACCACTCGGCCACCGGGCCAGCCCCTCAAGTAATTTTTTTAATATAGAAACAATTTTAGGTCTTAAACACAGAAATATGAAGGAGAAATATTACAAATTGGCCTCTTCTATTATTCAATTTGCTCATTAGATGATATATGCAGCAAATTTTAAAGTCACAGGAGAGCTTCTCCCTGTCATGGAGCTTGTCTAAACCCTGCTCTCCCTACTACTCTGTGTATGCTGAGGGAATGTGAATTAATTTCTTTATTATCTTAAGTAAAACAGCGTCAAAAGCTAAATGTCTGCAAGCTCCAAGTGACTAAATGCAGCAAAAGCCAAAGTGTACTGTTCAAATCTTACTCATCGTCTATAAAACGCTTCTTTTTAGCATATTAATATGCTAGGACTGCATTTCTATCTTACAGGAAAAAAATCTGCAGATCTATGAATTCAGAGGTATTTTCTGTTCCTTGTTTTTGTTAAAATGAGCCTCTGTAATACACTGTATAAAAAAATAAACATTACCTAGATCAAGGTAGCATATTATTTTTTTCCTAATGCGATGTATTTATCCCAGTGATTGAAAGCAATAGGTGGGCTCCAAATCCAAGTCATTCTGAAAAGCTGAACTTGGACCACAGAAATTGTTACTCCAAAGTCAAGAGAAACCAAAAGGAAACAGAGTCTGGGTTGCCAGCGAGATGCAAGTGTACCTTGAGCACGAAGTAGCACTTCCTCCTTTCCGAGACAATTAGAGCGCAAAGAATTACTTCATTTACTTACATTTGGTCTTCTGGGTGGAGGTGGCTCAGAGGGATTGCAGAGTACATTCGAACAGGGGGGGCACTTGGTTTCATCTATCATCATGAAGGTATCACAGACACCATCCCCCAACCTAGTTGAAAGGATTACAGATAAAAATCTGTCAGTAACCAAAGTATATAAATTCGTATTTCCAAAACATCCTGTGTCTTAACTCCTTCATATCTGCTACAAAGAATAATTAATACCAATAAATGTCTACACTGTATTTTGGCACTGAATACAAACAACTGAGGTATTTGGCAGAAGAAGAGAGGAAATCCAACTTTTATCTCTTTTTTTTTAAAGAAAGGATAGCATTTCTAGGTTTCATTTTGAATAGTTAAAGCTTACTTTCTGAATGTTATTAAAAATAGGAACTATCGAAAGGCTCTCATTTAACTTATTAGTTGAAAAGGCAGGCTAGTTTGAATCTTAAGCCCAAAAGCTAATCAGATCAGGGGAAAAAAAGGAGAGAGGTAACTGTATTTTCAAAGTCAGAGACCTGGATTCTAATCTCAGCTCTACCACTGGCTGCACCGCTCTCCTCTCTGAGCCTGTCTTCCACATATTATAATGGGAAGAACACTTCCAGCCACACACTTCCGGGTCTTACAGGCAAGAAATAAAAGGCCTTCTCAGGACTGTCCTCTTTTTATTTACTTACCTACCTAAGTTGTAGAAAAATACAGTGACTATTACAGCGAATACTAAAGAGATTCTCTAAATTACAAAATATACTGGATTTCACTTCTTTATCCACTTCATTTTCTGGTGGATCGTGGGAGCTAAATGATTAAGGATAATTTCTCTGCTAACACTGTGCCTCCACACTGTAAGGGAACACAAAAGACAGAGAGGATTTATTTAATCCACAAGATGGCCCTGAATAATATATTGCATCTGCCACCAAGAATACGGATTTCCCAGCTACGCACATCAGCATTTCATTGTATCACTGTATTCACTGTGTACTATGAATACAGTGCTGATGACCGGGTTGCAGGGGAAGAATTTTTTAAAATCTTTTAAAATATGCTGGAATACTTTAGTTGCCTTTAAAAACTGCTTTGCAAAATTATAGAGTTTTCTTAATTGATGTTATAGGAATACAAAGAGTAAAGAAAAAATTAGGAATGTTCTCTTTTTTAAAGCATGCTCACATTCTGATAGAACTATTTATATCTTTAACGGGAACTGCCTCACTGAAAAGAACCAAAAATTCTGGATGTGACTGGCTCTTTGCCAACAGCATGAATCAAACAAACAAAATGGGACAGGCGTCCACATTTACAGAAAAAAGACAGGCAATGAAGACCTACAAGATTTCCTTTAAATAGCCACAGGAAATTACCCAAAGGAAGTCTCCATGCAAATGAAGCGGGGAGGGATCCCTTCGCCCCATTTAGGCGTAAAATACAATGCAAGGTGGAGACTCTCAAAAAAGGAGCCACTGAAAGCGCTGCTCAGTAGAGCCCCGCACCTGCAGAGGCGAAGCCAGACCGCACCCCTCACGGCAAAGCCCGGAGAGTTCAGCCCACGGTCATCTCCTCTGAGCAACAGGGCTTCTTTGAAAGGTATTGCTGTCTCCCTCAGTTTGCTAAAAAGTCCTAGATTCTCAGAGTTCCCTACCATACTCATCCGATCTGGGCTTCAGAGATAATCCCGAGGGAGGGAATCCTTCCCCTAACTCCGCTCTGGCCCCCATCCCTCGCTCACGGTGGGCTGGGGGGAGGGGATCTGATGGAGAAGAAGACGGTGAGCTGGTCCCCGGAGGGGATCAGACCCCTTCCCGCGTCTCTCCTGCTGGGGGCTCGCTCAACCTCCAGCCCAGGCCTTCCCCGCCCCTCGACCTCTCCAGCCAGCGCCAGCCGCTCGCCCGGGCGCCCCCAGCCCGTTAGCCCGGGGCGCCGTTACCTCCGCTGCTGAGGCGGGAGTCCGGCTCCGGACGGTCCCGCATCCTTCCTCCCGGGCCCGCGAGCCGTGCCTCCCATCCGCTAGCTCGGGACCCCCGGGGAGAGGGGCGGCGGTTGGAGGGACCGGCGCGCAGCGTCCACCCTGCGCTGGGCGGCTGCCTCGGGGCCGCAACACTTCCCCAGGGACTCTCGTCCAGACACTGCAGCTCGGCGCGCCTTCGCTCTCCACTGCCGGGGCCGGGAGGGGCGCGAGGCGCGGCGGGGCGGGAGGGGAGCGTGTGGTCGCCTAGCAACCGCGCCACGCCCCGGGAAACGCCTCTGCGCAGCGACGCGGTGACGCACAGGGGCGGGGCCCGAGGCCTTCCCACCGCGCCGCGCCAGGGGCGGAGGCGGGGATCCGGGGGCCATGCGGCCACCGGTGGGCAGGCAGAGGCCGGGGCGCGGCGGGGACGAGGGGCCCGGCGGAGGAGCTGCGGCGGTGGCAGCTAGCCCCAGGTTTCCACTTCGGAAGCGCGGAGCGCCGTCCCTTAGCACGATGCAGCCTGAGTTCTATTTTTTTCTTTTTTTTCTCCCCATAACCCCCCCCACACACACACACAGTTGTGTATTTTTAGTTGTATGTACTTTTAGTTGTGGGTCCTTCTAGTTGTGGCGTGTGGGACGCCGCCTCAGCATGGCTTGATGAGCGGTGCCACGTCTGCGCCGAGGATCCTGAAACCCCGGGCCGCTGAAGCGGAGCGCGGGAAGCCAACCACTGAGTTCTAAAATCTCCCTTGAAGGTGAATAAAAGTGAATGAAAAAGTGTGTGATTTCCTAGACCGAGGGGCGGCCCCGGAGGGTCGTGAACTACGTAGGAAAGGGAGAATAATAAACCCACTCGGTGACACCATGCCCGCGCCTGCCAACATTGCCTCAGTTTACTCAGTCCCAGTGACCATACGAGATTCCACTCCGCTTTTACAGACTTAAGTAGGATCCAGAATTGAAGGTGCGGTTTGTCCGACTCCTGCAACGGGGGAGCTGCCGGCCGCGGGGCTCCACGAGCCGTTTTACCTGTGGGGAAACTGAGGCCAGAGCGGCCGAGCTTCCTCAGGATCAAGCAGTGGGCAAAGCCTGAACCAGGTCCTCAAGTCCCCCGGCCCTTCTCCCGTGGCTCCAGGCCCTCTGGAAGGCTCCTCTGGTCTTTTTCCTCGGAATGTGGGGCGGGGGGTGGAGGTGGTGGCGGGGGGGGGGGGGGGGGGCGGTTCTTCCTTTCTTGAAAAGTTAAGACCCTTCAGTAACGCCAATGTGAAGCGGACGTGGGTAGGTGGAACTCAAGGGGGAGCGGAGAGGGTAAATGAGAAGAACACAGCGTAGTTTCCCGGAGCGGGGCGGCCAATCGGATTTTCTAGCCCTACAAACACGAGGCCGTTGACCCTCCAGGAGAGAAGCGAACGTTCTCAAAAAGGCCGAGCTCGGGCGCCATCTGGTGGGGCTTGGGGACTCATTGTCCCAACCCAGCGTGGCACAGTCCGTAAATCCGAACACTTCCACCCAAAGGCTCCTTTCCGGGTGACTAGAAGTCAGAGTCCCCGTTCTCATGCCTCCCGGTTAAAATGCCTTTAAAATCCAAAGGCTCTTCACTTTATAGATGAAGACTGTGTCTATTTGGAGAACTTTATTCTTTGTGATCGATGTTACTTTAGCCTCTCTGATATAGATAGAAATAAAAAGGTTTTCTTCCATGACGATTTTTAAAATTTTTCTAATTTTTTTATGAAAAAGCTTTTTCTTAACCTCTCCCCGCCCCCTCCCTCAGACCAGAGCAATCCTGCTTTCCTATGGGTCTGTTCTGGGACACCTGTGGAAGCTTTTGTTTGAAGAAAGCGTTCCATGGCAACAAAAGGTTTGGACTAGGTTGTTACTTCCAGCTCTAAGACTGCAAAATTCTATTAAATAATCCCTGTTCTTAGTACTTACGTGGACACCTCAGACCACTGTACTGCCCTACACGCTGGCACAGGACTTGCCCCCACACGTTTTCTTAGCTCATTCTGAATCATGCTTTGAGAGGATTGCCTGTCGGGTCTGGGTTTCAGACACATCTCCCCGAGGCAACCCAAAGCGTTCCAGCTCCCCTTCCTGGCCCAAGGTGGGAAACAGGCTTCCTTTATCTTCAGCCGATCGTTTCCATGGTCCAGGGAGGGAGGATGCTTTGAGGGTGCTGGAGCTTCATAAATTCTCTGACCTTAGCGCCCCACATACTTTCCAGTATTTCTTCAGAGTCCCTGTTTCATAACAGTATGGCTGGGTTGAAGCCCAGTGTGGGATCCAGCAGGAGCCGCCACACCCCCGCTCAGCTGCTGCGCTGGGCTCTCCAGCTCTTGAGCAGCTTCCACCCCATTCATGTCCTTGCTTCCTCTCCAAAACCCTACTCAGAAGTAGTTCAAAATTGCCATTATCTTTCTCCACGCAGCTAAAGCCAGACTTACCTACTAGGGATTAGCCAAATATCATATAAGATGCCTGCCTGTCCTTCGAAGCCAGTTCTAACACAGCTGCAAAATAAGGAACCTGTAACAAACGCAACAATGGAACTATTCCAGGATCTTTAAAAATCACTGGCATATTCAGAATGTGATCACAGCAGTTTCAAATGCATAAATTAAGAAAATATCCCTGTGGCCACATTCCCCTGGAATTTTGTGATGAAACAGGTGTTGGTGGGCTCTGTTAAGTTTAAAATCATTTCATTTCTATGTGTTATTCTTTGCAGGGTGATGTGCCAGAATGCATAGTATGACATTATGAGTCACAAAATTGGAATGCATTTTTTAAAAAGTCATTCGGAGAGAACCTGTGAAGCTTACCCTTTCCCCCAAGCTATATTGACCTTAAAATTCACCCGAGCTCAAGAAACGTGTATTGTTATTTTTACAGAAACGCAGAAATCGAGCTCACTGAAACACTAAAGCCATGTTTTATTTTTCTGGAGCCTCAGAAAACTGTCTCTTTTTTGAAGCTCATGCACTTCCTGTTCCTTCTCCCTCTCTCTCCCTCAAGCTCTGAAAGATGCCCCTATCAGTGCTTCTGAATCTTGAAAACAACAACAAAACAAGCAAATCTCTGTGCTGCTCCTAGTACTGTGGACACCTAGTTCTGTCTCCTAAACCCCGAAGGCTATCCTTATTAGTCCCCAACCGCAGAAATATTTTTCTTTTCCCAAAATTTCTGCCACCTCTTTTCACTTGCTCCTCCTGAGTCAGCATGACCCGTTCCGCCTACAGCCCACGAGGGGCCACGTGAGCTACATTTCTGAAGTCTTAAGACAACCTGAACTTTTTCTAATCATCGTTACATTTATTATGTTCCAGGTACCATCTGAAGTGCTTTATATACATTTTCTCATTTAAAACTTACATCAGTCCTGTGAGATAGGTATTATCTCCATCTTACACTTCCGAAAGCAATCTCAGAGATTAATAACTTGTCCAAGTTCACTGAGCTGGTATGCGGTGAATTGGAATTCAAACCTTGGTCTGTTTGATTCTAGAACCCAGTCCATCAGCTGCCTGTACACTGCCTGTCTTCCCTGAGCCTGTCAGGGTAGCCCAGACTGGATCTCTGGATCCTTTGAATTCTGCAACATACAGTTTCCCTTGATCTAAGATTCCAAAGTATGGGGGACAGAATAATGGTCCTCCAAAGATGTCTATATCCTAATCCCCAGAGCCTGTGAATATGTCATCTTGAATGGCAAAAAGGGGCTTTGCAAATGTGATTAACTTAAGCATCTTGAGTTGGGGAGATTATCCTCGATTATCCAGATGGGCCCAATGTAATCACAAGGGTCCTTATAAAAGGGAATAGGGAGGCAGGAGGGTCAAAGAAAGAGATGTTATGATAGAAGCAGAAGTCAGAGAGAGAGAGGAATTTGAAGGTGCTTGTTTTTGGTCTTGAAGATGGAAGACGGGGCCGTGAGTCAAGAAATGAAGGTGGTCTCTAGAAGCCAGAAAAGGCAAAGAAACAGATTCTCCCCGATAGCCTCCAGAAAGAACACAGCTCTGCCAACAGCTTGATTTTAGGACTTTCAACCTCCAGAACTGTAAGACACTAAATCTGTGTTGTTTTAAGCCACTAAGTTTGTGGTAATTTGTTACATTAAAGCTTAAGAAGCTTGGGTACTGTGGTAAATTAAACATGGGCACACATTCTTTGCAGCTGCTCCCATCAGGTGGTGAAGACAATTTTCCCAATTCTTGAATCTGGCTAGCCGTGTGACTTGCTTTGACCACTAGAATGTGACAGAATTGGTCTTGCGTGATTATGAGTTTAGACCTCAGGAGACCTAACAGAGGCTCTCTTGTGCTCTTAGATGCTGCCACCATGTGGACAAGTCTGAGCTGGATTGGTGGAGAGTCCTCAGCCAACCCCAACTGCCAGACCATCCAGCCAAGTTGAGTGAGAGGCCATTTAACAGAGTTGAGTTGCCAGATGACAGCAGCCATGCAAAGCCAGGAGAAGAAACAAGTCAACAACCCCTCGAGAACTGTGAGCAAATAAAATGATTGTTATTTTAAGTCAGTAAGTTTTAGGGTGCTGCAATAGAGAAATGGTATGAGTACTTTTGAAAAATATCACTTCCTGCCTACCCTCCATCCCATCAGATCTAATGATTAAGAATTTCTTGGTAAGGAGCTCCACTGATCTTTGTGTGGTGACTGTTGTTCATCAACAAGGTTTGGAACTCACTAGCGTAGACCTTGGAGACTGAGTCCTACTGGGTCCCCTGGATCTTGGAAGCCCACTAGGCCTACTCCATTCGTGGTACCTGGGCCAAGGAAACCGTTCCTCCCTCTCTCTCCTAGGGTACAGGTCAGGACTTTTTCCATTGCAAATACCAAAAAACCCAACTGAAACTGCTTAAAGAAAATGTGCAATAAAATTTTTTTGCAATTGTTTAAGCAGTAGGGCTAAATTCAGGTGTGGTGTGTGTCTGTTGTCTGTCCATTTCTTGGCTCTCTAGTCCTCGCTGCTAGCTTCATTCTCAGCCTTCTTCTGTGCAAACAAGATGGCTACTAGCAGTTCCAGGATCAGTTCAGTGGAAAAGCTCTTCAGCTGTCCCCACAAATTCTCACTGTATTTCATTGGCTTTGAATGGGTCCATCCTTGAACCAAATCTGGGGCCAGGAAAATCCAGTGCTCTGATTGGTCAGCCCTGGCCACCTGGAGCCAGCAGCAGTGTCATCTGAAGTGCATTGGATAGAGAGTTAGGGAGATGGTGATTCTCCAGAGGAAAATTGCTACAGTGGGTTCCAGAAAAGGGATAAATGGATGTTGGGCAGCAAAAACAACATAGACCTACTATAGGTGGACATTGGAAATCAGCTCACTTATGTCACTTAAATCCTGAAAATCCACATCAGGGTCATCTGGCTACTGGAAGTCTTTGACCTTTCTAAATCTCAAATGCCTAGCTAGACACCAGGCTTTGAAATGCATCTCACCATGTCGCCTGAATCATGGAAGGCAAGTTGCCCTCTCCCTCAAAAACGCCCCTTATGCTCTATAAAACAAGTCATGAAGTACTTCCCATGGGTGATAATTTAAGCCCGGCAACTAAGGGCCCTATGAATATGTCTCTATGTTCGTAATCCTCCAATTTCATATGCCTCTTTGTATAATAATAAAAGCTGGATTAAGGGATGTGCTGGTCAACATTTTCCCAGGAAGCAATTCCATTAGCAGAGTTAAAATTAATTGGAAATGTACAAAGATGGCGAATATTGTTTTTATCTGGATTAATCTCATGGAGACAAGCATATGTACCTGGAAGAAATACTTAGCTAAATTCCTTCTGGGAACAGAAGGGGGACAAATGTAAGACTCCCAAGAGGCATTCAGAAGAAATGCCTCCTAAGGAGGGTGGGTCCAGTTGTCTGCAGGGATTTGGGGGTCTGAAAGCTGGAGGTCTTCTTCTCTGCCCTTTCCCCTGCCCCGCTCAGCTCTTCCTCTAAACAAATGAGCAAGCATCTGGTCTGAGGGAAATCCAGGTATTATCACTGGCCCTGATTACAATGACGTGTGCATGGGTCTGTCTCGCTCCTTGAGACAGGGACTTGCTTGTGAATGACCTTCATATTCCCCACGTCAAGCACAGTGCCTGGCACACAGCGGGCTCTCAGCAAATATGTCAATGTCACCAGAATTTTAGAAACTACTCCCTAAGAAATAGAAGTCTCTATCTTAACGTCCACTATTCTCTTCAAAGTTGTACTTGCTGGTCACCCTGACGTGGGGGAGTCTTCACTTCTGTTTGTTTGCTTGCTTTTTAAGTCAAAAGCCTGCTCTTGTCCATAAAGCCTGGAAACAGTCCTTCTAGGCTGAGTCCCTCTAGGAGCCGCAGGGATCAGGGAACATGTTCACAGTGGGCCCTGGAGAACGGCCTCTTCCTTCAGGCTTCCCGAGCTCCTCATGGGTCTCCCTACTGTCCCGAGCACCAGAGGCTGCTCCCTCCCCCTTGCCGCCTACCTTTGCTGCTCTTCTGGATACAGACAGCCCTACTGAACTGGGAAATCACAGTCTTCAGTGAGAGAGAGACGCCTTTCAAAGCTGTACTTATGATAGATCTGGTTTGTGCTCCTTAACCATACTGAGGAAGAAGTTCAAAAAAGGCAGACTGAAGTAACAGCGATATCAAGTCTTCCCGGAAATGTCATGGCCTGCGAACTGGAGGGTTATGGGGAGGAAATTTGAGTTTTTAAAACCAACCTCTAAAAGAGCAATGAGAATGTTTTCATTTTTCCCTGGGATTTGATGATTAGAGGGTAAGACTTTGCATACTTTCCTTGGTCTTCAATTAAACAAATAGCTTTACTTGTAGACTACCCAAACTTCCTAGGAAATACCAGAAGCATGACGGCGATCCCCAGACCACAGTTTCAGCTTCCTGTGCTCCTGATGTGTGCACCCGAATCAGCCAGACAAGGTTCACCAAGTGTCTTTTACAGGCCAGGCCCTTTGCTAGGCGCACAGCGATTGCTGCTCTGCATCCAGACCCCGTGACCCCACGTCATGCCCCTCTTCCTCCTGGCCCTTCTTGGTTCTCAGCCACCAAGAACCATGTTCTCAGCTCACAGTCATCGAGTTTATGCCTATCATAGGACTTGAACAGTTTCCATCCACTTTTCCTAAATAGCCCTCTCTTCTCTGGCTCTCCCTGCCTTTCCCGGGTTGGACCTCACACGCCATCAGCATATTCCCACCATAGGACCAGACATGAAAGGTAGGGTATGAGTATGTCTATGCAATATTTGGGACATATTTATACTAAAATAATATTCATTATTTTTCTAAAGTTCAAATTGAACTGGGCTCCTTGTATTTTTGTTTGCTAAATCTGGCACCCTTACCTATAGAGAATAAAATCTTCATCCGAAATACCTTGAATTAGACGTGAAATCTGCTCATGGAAAAATCACCCTGAGGAACTCCCCTCTCCTGCCTTCCCCCCAAAACATAAACCCTCGCACACAATCAACTGCTTATAATCTTATTCCCTAAATCCTTTCTTAATTTTTGGATTTTTTTTTAATTACAAATTTTTTGAGGTAAAATTTTTTTTTTTGAGGAAGATTAGCCCTGAACTAACTGCTGCCAATCCTCCTCCTTTTGCTGAGGAAGACTGGCCCTAAGCTAACATCCGTGCCCGTCTTCCTCTACTTTATATGTGGGATGCCTGCCACGACATGGCATACCAAGCAGTGCCATGTCTGCACCAGGATCCGAACCGGCGAACCCCAGGCCGCCTAAGCGGAACGTGTGCACTTAACCGCTGCACCATCAGGCTGGCCCCTGAGGTAAATTTCACACTCAGTAAAATGCGTACATCTTAAATGTATATTTTGATGAGTTTTGACAAATATATACCCCCATGAAACACACCCCCACATCAAGACATAGACTATTTCTGTAATCTCAGAAGGTCCCCTTGTGCCCCTTCCGGTTAATTCTCTCTCCCCAGAGCCAACCCCCGTGGATAAGTGGTGCTTGTTCTTGAGCTTCATATAACTGAGATTATAGAGTGTGGACTCTAGTGTCTGCTGGCTTCTTTCTCTCAACGGGATGCTTTGAGATTTGCCCACGTGGTTGCATATCTCCATAGTTCATTCTTTTTTATTAAGGAGTAGGAGTCCACTAAGTGGACAGACAGTAGGTTGTTGATCCAGTCACCTGCTGATGACCATTTGGGCTGTCTCTAGTTTGGGCCTTTTGTGAATACAGTTCCTAGGAACGCTGTATACAGATCTTTTTGTGAGCAATTTTTGTATTTCTCTTGTCTTAGTTTTCTAGGGCTGCAATGACAAATTACCACAAACTGTGAGGCTGAAAACAACAGAAATGTGTTCTCTCACAGTTCTGGAGGCGGATGTCTGAAATCAAGGGGTCACAGGGCTGGTTCCTTCCGGGGGCTCTGAGGGAGGGTCTGTTCCATGCTCTCTCCTCACTTCTCGTGGCCGCTGGCAATCCTTGGCGTTCCTTGGCTTGTAGACACATCACTCCAGTCTCGGCCTCCATCTTAGCAGGAACTTCCTCCCTGTCGTTAATCCTGTATAGCCTGAGGGACAATGGAGTGGAAGGTGGGTAGATTAGCAGGGAAATGGGGCGTTGTGATTAGCTGGAATGGATACTTCTGTGCCAATTCCCACCTCCACCCTTAATTTACAGGCTCTCTGCAGGCTGGGCTGCACCCCTAGCTGGGCTGAGATCACTGAGTCAAGCAAAGATGGTCTGTCCACTTCTTTTCAAAGCAAAGGAAGTAGACACCAGTGCTTGCAGACATGAAGCTGGTGTTCCTGTCCTTCCCCATAGGTTACCCGCTCCGTACATCCACCCCTAAATATCCAACCCCCTAGTACGCCAGGAGGAGCACTGCCCAGTCCCAGATTCTAGAAATTGTCTTGCCTTCAATCCTCCAGAAAGGAAATATTAGACAAAAGCCAGCCTGTCTGGGCTTTGCTTTGCTGTAGAGAGCACAAAACAAGAAGAATGACGTTCAGAAAAATACCCACAGCGCTTGTCCCCTGGGCCTCTTTTGTTTACAGCCTCTGTTGTGTGATCTGTGCAGTTCTAGCCATAGGTCTGATCACAGGGCCCAACAGTACAGTAAGCAGCAGTTAAAAGAATATTTCCCTTGGCGTCAGATACCACGTGAAATCCTGACTCTGACGTTTAGGGGGCATCTTGACTCAGCCCCAGGCCTTGAGTCTAGACTCCGCCAGTGCCCTGCCTGGGCTTCCCTCTCACGGCCGTGAGAAGCCCACATCCACTTGCAGGGCTTCTGTTCTCCCTCAGTCGCCCTGCACCTTGCCATTCCCTTCTCCCTACCACATATGTCCAGCTCCAGAGCTTACAGGGGCCTGGGAACACAGGTGATCCATTAAGGCAGGTTCCCTTCATTTGTGGAGTTCTCCCAGGGTCCATGAGTCCCAATAACAGGTTTCTGCCACAGATTGTGGGGAACATTTTCACCTCAGATCAGTCCCTTCTGCATCTATCCCAGGCAAGGAAATAACTAATTTTCTGAGATGTGAAAGGTTTGACTTCTGAGCAGCTGTGAGAATCTTTTTCTGCCCAATTCCCAGGGTCTGAGGGCTCCTCCAGGCCTCACCCGGGATCCTCCAGATTCACTAACTTTGGAGGGGTATGAGTTTGAGGGAGGCAGTGAAGACGAAAAGCGATTTTTAAAAGCCCAGCAGAATATCTAGTTCAGGCAGTCCCAAGAAGAGAGAAAGGACAGGCGCATCAAATTCACAGGAAAGTCTTCCCCCTGCTGAAGGCAGCTCCAAGCTCCCAGCATGTGGGGCAGGCTGTTTGGGAAGTGGTTGCAGCTGTTCTCAGAGTGGGTGCCCCAGTCTCGGCTCCCATCCCGGCCAGGAAGACCAGGCAACATAGCGGTGCTGCGCTGGGCTTGGCGGAGCTCTGCCTTCTTCAAATTTGCCTTGTGGTTTGGTTTTGCAAGAGCAGCCCTGGTGCGCCTATCTTCACCTCTGTGTCCCCTTTTATATTGTGAGTTCCGTGAGGCCTTGTGATTCATAAAAAGCCGCAGATTTCATAGCAAAGATTTTATGATTAGAGCTCCTTCCTTTCCCATCCCCCTCCAACTTTGCATTAGTCAAACATCTTAGGCTTTTAAGTTTTCAGTTTTCACATCATAAGCAAAAGAGCCAGCGGAGGATGATTTCCGGGGAGAACAGCTGGACTGCACATAGCTGTGGATTCCATCACAGTGACATGGACAAATCGGCTGTTTTAGGATGTACTGGGAGTGAGACATGCTTGGGTTCCTGTATTAGTTTTCCTTGCTGCATAACAAACAGTCCCCAAGCTTAATAGCTTAAAACAACAATCACTGGGGCCGGCCCCGTGGCCTGAGTGGTTGAGTTCACATGCTCTGCTTCAGCGGCGCGGGGTTTCTCTGGTTCCAGTCCTGGGTGTGGACATGGCGCTGCTCGTCAGGCCATACTGGGGCAGCATCCCACACGCCACAACGAGAAGGACCCACAACCAAAAGTGCATAACTATGTACCGGGGGGGTTTGGGAGAAAAAGGAAAAATAAAATCTTTAAACAAACAAAAAATAATCATTTACTATCATGATTTTTGTAGATCAGGAATTCAGACAGGGCACAGTGGGACGGAAGACTTGAAAACTTGTATGGTGGGGTGACTTGCCCGGGCCTGGAGGCTGCGCTTTCAAGGTGGCTCAGTCATGTGGCTGGTAGGTTGATGCTAGTGGGTTGGTTCCTCTCCACATGGACCTCTTACAGGGCTTCTTGAGTGTCCTCTCAAGATGGTGGGTGGCTTCCCCCAGAGCAAGAAATCTAGGAGACCAAGGCAGAAGCTACTGTCTTTTATGACCTAGCCTCAGGAGTCACACACTGTCAACTTGGCCGTATGCTATTGAACACAGAAGGCAGCCCTGATCTCATGCAGGAGGGGACCACGTATGGGCATGAAGACCACTGAGGCCCCTTTTGGAGTCTGGCTACCTTTATCTTCCTTCTGGCCTTAAATGTTTCATGTCTCTCTTACATGCAAAACATATTAACTCCCTCCCCAGGTCCCCAGAAGTCTCATTCCTTTATCATTCAAAATTAAGGATGTCATCATCAAAATCAGTTCCAGGTGTGGATGATGCGCCTCAGGGATATTTCCTTGAGTACAGCTGTTTGAGTACAGTTCTTGATGTAAAGATCTGAACAAAAGACACAGCTATCCGCACCAAACTCAACATATAATATTGGGATAGGCATAGTATAACCACTGAAGATACTCCCAAAAGAGGAGAACCTGAGAGGCACCCAGGAGCCACTGATTATCGTGAATATGAAATCCATCAAGGCACATGTTGCCAGTTTCTTGATTAGGGCTAAATGCTTGTGAATGCTGGTTCTTGGCTCTACTCTCTGGACTCCTACTTCTGTCCTTCGTTTTTTAATAAAAGATAGACTGCGTTTGCAGCTGACCTAAGAGTGAGGAACAGGCTGGGAGCCCTGCGGGGCTGCACTGGAGCCACAAAGGGAAGGCTAAGGAATCTGGGCTTGTTGGACTCAGGGTTGCTTGCTGGCAACAGGGCTACTAGGAGGGAGCAGGCAGGTTCACGATGCAGGCAGAGAAGGTGGGATGGTGTCCACCCTGGGAAAGTGAGATCTTGCTCTGCCAATGAGGAGGCAGGATGCTGAGGTACAGCATCTCCCTGGGTCTTGGCTCCTACTCGTCAACCACAAATTTTTAGGCTGATAATCTATGTCTTACCCAGGACATCTGGTGTGTAATAGTTTCCCCTGCTTGAAATTTCTAATATTTCCTTGAATAACCTTCCTCAGCTTTCAGGGCAGAGGCTCCCTCAGCCACTGGTCTGCAACAGGCCTGATCAACGGCACCGAGTCTGACATCACACCCTACAAGTGTGGCGGGGTGGAGCTCCATGGGGACAAGGGTCTGCGCTGCTGTCCTCCTCTGGGTTCCTCTGACTTTGGCATGGTGGCTGGGGTGCTCAGAATAAAGGCCTGGTGGGTCAGAAGCATAGGAGGAGCCTGAGCTGGGTCTGGCCCTGGGCCATATTGAGGGCCCTTCCAAGAAAGGTGGTGGGTAGACATTGTGAAAGGCCTAATCTTTAGACAGCTAATGTGGAATTCTCCTTTATGCAACTATGTTGCCGAATCAAGCAATTCGGATTTTTTTTCTTGGTGGATGGTCACTCTGCTCTGAAGTTTTCACATGCAAAATTTAATTTAGTAGAGGCCAGGACCCCAAGGGTTTAATCCTTGTCTCCAGGGTGCACAGCTGTCTCCAGGAACCAATCCCTCACAGCTGAGACTGGTTTTCCTGTTTTGGACTAATATCTACCATTTACTGGAAATTGGCAAAGCTGTGCAACATATCACATACATTACCTCAGTTGTTTCCTTTAGGAGCCCTGTGAGGTAGGTATTACATCCATGTCTCACAGAGAAAGCAAAAAGTAGCCGTTGAGCCGTCAACACACTGCTACCCAGAAGCCAAATCATAATCTGAGCCTAATCTGCCTTACAGATATTTTTTAACAAGCAATATGAGTTAATAAATCATAAACAACATAATTACTTTGGAACTAAACCCCCCCCAAATGATGCCTGAAACTTTGGGTACATACAAATAGCCAAAAATATTTTAAAATACTAGATTTGAAGATCATTTGTAGTTTTTTTCCTATAACCTCAGGGACAAATCTGGGACAAGAGTGGATTCCTTGTTATTATCACCCCACATAAATTAAAAAACACGGAGGAGAAAATCTTGGAGAAAATCCTAGCTGAGGCCTCTAGTACGCAATAAAATGTAACGATCTTAATAAACAAAGCCCTTAAGAAAAACATTCAAGAGGCCTGCAAGTTTAATAAAACACAAGAGTTCAATTAATTTTGTGGAACTGCACCATGCTGAACGGAACGGGAGCTTGCAGAGCGCCAGCTCGGCGCACTTTAACGCTGACGGAGTGGAAAAGTACGACAGCGCCGTGGGCAGGGCCGGTCACCGCCCCGGGCGGCCCCGAGCCCCTCGCGCAGGCGCAGAGCCGGGCAGAGGGGCGCGGCGGCGGGGCGGGGCGTGTCCACACCCTCCCTGGCGGGAGTCCACCGCCTCCCCCGGGCCCCGCCCCGCCCCTTCAGTTCCCGTCCTCGCCGCTAGGGGCGGCCGCGGTCTCCGCAGCGGCAGCAGCCGCGAAGCTGCGCGGCGCGGGTTTCCAGCCGGGCCCCTTTGCCGGCCGGGCCCCAGCATGGCTGCCCCCAGGGCTGCGGGTCGGGGAGCCGCCGCGCTTTCACTCTCCTGACAGCCCCTGGCTTCTGTGCTCTCCTTCTCTTCCTCAGGCCACTCCAGCAGACATGTTTGCCAAGGCCTTTCGGGTTAAGTCCAACACGGCCATCAAAGGGTCGGACAGGTGAGGGAGAGAAGGGGCCTGCTCTGCCCACCATGGCACCCAGACGTCTCTCAAGCCGGCTAGCCCACAGCCCTTTCTGGGCTCGGGCAGCAGACCTGGGGTGGCGGGCGAGGGGTACGGCGGGGAAGGGACCCCAGGGGGCAAGAGTGAGTTAGACATTTTGAGGGCAAAGATGGAGAGGAGGCCTGATTTATCTCCCAGGCTGCCTTTTGGATATTCTAGTGAGTTTAAAAGAAAACGTAATTCAGTCCGCGCTGCGGTCTGTTTGGGGTGTTGTGGAGGATGCAAGCATGAAGGAATGCAGGGTCCCTGCCCTCCAAAGAGCTTAGAGTCCCTTGGACAGATCAAGTGGGGCGCTGAGAACTACAAATATTTGAGAAAAAGCGTCTAGTGATTACTTCTGCGGGGGGGAAAAGGATGCGCCGCATGTGGTAAGGCGAACTGTATCTGTTCAGACAATGTTGCAAACGCAGACATCACGTTGGGAATTTTGGAACCAGAGTTCTATAGTTGTCATTCTTGGTGCCCTGGTATAGCTAGTCAGTCATAAGCTGGCAGATTTGCCAAGCATATGTGAGAAAGGAGCGGGTCTGAGGGCTAGACATGGAGTCAGGATGGCAGGGCTGAGTTTCCACTGTCGGACTAACTTGGTTTGCTCACTGGGTCTCAGTTTTCCTCTTTCTTTGTAAAATGCAAAGATGTGCCCCAGGAATATGTGTAAATAGATGAGACATTGGATAAGGAAGAGAATAGGATGTTTTGGAAGAGTGTGTGAGAATAGGACATCATAAACCAGACAGTTTTTCCTGGGCCCTCTTAACTTTAGACTAAGTCCTTCTGAGTCCTCAGTATTTATTAAACTCCATCCAGGCAGCATTCATACCAGGTATTGGTGTACTTTCTGCAGGAGAAAGCTTCGGGCTGATGTGACAGCTGCTTTCCCCGCTCTTGGAACCGATCAGGTCTCTGAGTTAGTACCTGGAAAGGAAGAGTTCAACACTGTGAAGTTGTATGCTCACAGAGGGGATGCAGTGACTGTGTACGTGAGTGGTGGTAACCCCATCCTATTTGAACTGGAGAAAAATCTGTATCCCACAGGTATGGCAATAGGATGGAGATGCCCATTACTAGAGCCCTTGCTTAACATCTGTTTCTGCTTATTTCCTCCATTAACCTGTCTTCCTTAAAACAGACAAGTGCAGAATCTCCCAATATTATCCCTAAGAATCTTTTTTGGACCTAGTGGCCCTAGAATTGGGTCTTTCAAGACCAGAAACTACTATAGGAGGGAGGAAAAAAGGGCTAACAGAGGGTGGTTGCCAAGGGAAGTTCTGAGATGAAGGAACAATAATTTGTAGTGGGTTAACTAGCGATGAGCAGAGGTCTTGGAAAGGGTAGAATTTCAGGGCATTTAAAGAATGTTTCTTAAAACTATCACTAGCAAGATTTCCCTAAGCTACTGAAGAGATGCTGTGATAGGAAAGGAGCTGGATTAGTTAAACTGCATACCCAGCTGTCTTAGTGATGTACTTCAGTTGAGATATCACAGCTCAGCTCTGCCTGGTTCTCAGGATCTTTGCTTTCATTCTTTGTCACAGATCTCAGAGACTCAGTGTCCTTTTTCTTTTCCATAGCTGCTGACACCTACTTTGTCACTTGGGGCTTTTTTCCCACCAAGCTTGGCTGCAGCAGTGCGATGCAGTCTCCTTAGGCCACTCCTACTGCCACTGCACTTTGCTGCTGTGCAAACACATGCCTTTTTGATCTAAGGTTTTACTGCTAATCACTATGGAAACAGAGGGAGTAAAAATCATAAACATGGGAAAGTTCCAAAATTTCTTACAGGCTAGCTCCCTGTTATCAGGTTACTTCCTTCTGAGGTCATAAATGGAATCCTCGTTGGGACTGTGTCCCACTTTCTCCACTGTGGCCATTTTCTGCTGCTGCAGTCCAGGTGGAACCATAGGGACCTCTAAGTCTCAAGTGGCATCCAGTTGCTTAAGTCTCCGCCTTCTTCAAGAAGGAAACCTCTTTGGGCATCCCCTCACAACTTTTTCTCTAGCTTTGAGTCGAGTTTCTTTTCTATATCTTAATTAAAGTGACCTTAGTGGTTGGCTTTGCCAATTCCCTAGGGGATTGACTTTTTGGCAGTAAGTGTTTTCGGGGTCTCTTTTTGGACAGTGTACACCCTGTGGTCCTATCCTGATCTCCTACCAACGTTCACAACATGGCCACTCGTGCTCGAAAAACTGGTAGGGGGAGCAGGTAAGGATTTTCCTATATTCTGGCTATTGGCTGACACCTGCTTAGTAAGGGCCAACTACTTTAATAAATGTACCTGTTTCCTATGTGCACGTTTGGAAAATGGAATTTTTCTCCTATGTGTGTTGTGTCTCTCACTTGGCTGCTTCCGTGAGCTCTCTGGGCTCCTCTGACCCTGTTGTAAAGCTTAAATAAGGTAAAGTGATGAGAAAGTACCTTGTGCACTTTACATCAATAAGCTGAATTTAGGAAACCAGGATAAGATGGATCATGGAATTAGACCCTCAGCTTGGTACTTTAATTTGACCGCAGGCCCCCCTAAGAGGGAAAGGTCTGATACTCAGCTTGCCGTTTTTTATTTTCATTGTGAATAACGTAGGTGATACCAAATATCTGTTTGTTGAGTGAATGAATAAATGATGAAGTGAAAGGTGGAATTCGATGGAGGCAGAATGTTAGGTTGTGATGTTTCTGTTTTGTTTGCCGCAGATTTGATGCTGCCAGGATTAGTGGTGCCCCCTGCTGGTCTGCCTCAGGTACAGAGAGGTGATCTCTGTGCCATTGCCTTGGTGGGGAACAGGTACTGTGTCGGTCAGCTGTGCCTTTGGGGGAAACACTTAAGTAAAACTGGGGAGGGGGGAAGATAACTTCCAAAGCATATAGATAAAGGATTCGAAGAAAAAACAGGTTCTTCTGGAAGAAACAGAGTGGGCCATTAGGGGAATGGCAGTGAGCCTGTGGGGTGTCCACACATCTGGGCCAAGTGTATCTGCAGCTGCTGCTGCTGCTTTTTCTCCAAATAATTTTAGATTTACACAAGAGTTGCAAAGATAGTACAGAGTTCTGATGTACTCCTTACCTAGCTTCCTGTGATGACAACATTTTATAAAACCACAGTACAGTTATCGAAACTAAGGAATTAACAATGGTACAATCCTATTAACACAATTACAGACTTTATTCGTATTTCCCCAGTTTTTCCACTAATGTCTTTTTTTCTGTTCAAGGACCCAATCTAGGATACCACATTGCATTTAGTTGTTTTGTCATCTTAGTCTCCTGTCTGTGACGTTTTCCTGGTCTTTCTTTGTCTTTCACGATCTTGACACTTTGTTCCATCATCCTCATCTTTTAGCTTTTTAATAGCTTTACTGAGATATAGTTTATATACTGTATAATTCGCCTGTTTCAAATGTACGATTCAATGATTTTAGTATATTTTCAGAGTTGTTCACCCATCACCACACTACTTCTTTTTAGAAATAAATTAGCGTGAGGGAATGGACTATAATTAGTTTTCAGGTGGTGAACATGATGTAATGTACACAGAATTCGAAATGTGATGTACATCCGAAAATAAAAAAAAAAAGAAATAAAAATTAGGTTAATTGGCTCATCTCACCATTCCTGTTATCAGTTCCATAATGACAATAAATATTATTCCATTTCTTCATGCCAAAAATAAGTAAATAAATAAATATAAATTAGCAAGTAATCATATGAACAATCCTGAAAAATTGAAAGCCTCCTCACTCCAAAATCCTTTTTTCCTGAAAGTAACCATTATCATTTTGATGCATATCCTTGCCAACCTTCAGTGCTTATATACATGGTCCATATAAAAATGTAGATTTGGCATATGTATGTTTAAAAATACAGACAATTATACTTTATCATTTTTCACTTAAGATAGTGCAGACGTTTTCCATGTCATCAAGCACAGATATGCTGAATCTTTTTGCCTGCTGTGTGGTGATGGAAGAGATCCTCTCCTAGTGGATGATTATCTCCAATTTGTCTATCACAAACAATATCTTACTGATGCCTCTAGGGACGCCAGTGCCAATATTTTTTCTGGAGTGGATACTGAGAAGCATACCTGTTAGGCTGAAGATCATGCGTATTTTCTGATGCCCTACGAAAGAGCTGTATCGGTTTTCACTCCCATCCGTGGGGTATATGGAGCCTCTTTTCCTACACTCTAACCAACACGGGATATGATGGGTCTTGTTCATTTGTGTTATCCTGAGTGAAAAATGACATCTCATTATTTTACTCATTGCTTCTTTGAGAGAGAAAGAGAGAGAAATTGTAGGCATGGGAGGGGTCAGTGTTTAAAGATCTTATTTTTGCTACTCATGTTCTCCCATTTTCCTTGAACTTTTTGGAACCAAGCACCTGGAAATGTTCCTTCCTTGTTGACCTGTAGCAAAACTTGCAGATGAAAAGCATGGTGGTATCATTGTTTTTCCCCCAGTATTCTATCCAAGATAGGAGAAAACTACATACTTTTTTTTTTTTAAAGATTGGCCCTGAGCTAACATCTGTTGCCAATCTTTTTTTCTTCTTCTTCTCCCCAAAGCCCCTCAGTACATAGTTGTATATTCTAGTTGTAGGTCCTTCTAGTTCTGCTATGTGGGACGCCCCTCAGCATGGCCTGATGAGCAGTGCTAGGTCTGTGCCCAGGATTTGAACCAGCAAAACCCTGGGCCACCACAGCGGAACACATGAACCGAACCACTTGGCCTTGGGGCCAGCCCCTACATAAATATGTTTTTGGTGTGCTCGGGGTACCTTCACAGTGTATATGGGGATGAAGCTTGGAGTAGTTTGTGGCAGGAGTTGAGGGTATTAGGGGGTTTATTAAAAATACAAACCCTGTGAGACTGAAGTTCCTTCCAGGGCTGGAAGAAAAAGACCCCTCTTTTGGGAACTGGGAGAGGAGCCAGATTCAAAGTTTCTGTGGCAGGAGCTGACCTGTGGGCACAGTAAGTGGAGGCACCAGGTTAGCAAACATTTTTTTAAGTTCAGGTGTTGGAAACCCTGTCCTTGATTTTTCTCCCCTGGGCCCAGGCGACCTTGCCAGGCTGTGTACTCCCCCACTGTCGTGCAGCTGGCCCCAGTCCTCACAGGCAGTGTGTGGGCCGTGCTTGAGTAACACTGCGCTGACCGAGCTGTCCCATTTGGGCTGTGGAAGTTTTTACAGCTACTATATATGTGGTTGTTTTTGATATTCTGAACACACCCGGTTCTTAGATAGATAGTTACACAGAGCAAGCCCTGTTATAAAGAGCCAACTCAGAAGGAACCTCTCTAGTTGGCACCACTATTTATCTCTTCTCTCTTCCCTATGGCATCCCTCAGACTAATTTACGGCGTGCAGATGGCTTCCCTTCTGAACTTCCATATAGGACGGCTGTGCTTTCTTTAAGGAGGGGAGGTAATTGTCATTGTTGAAGTTAAAGAGAGGAAACTTTAAATGTCCTCCCAAGTCCTGCCTGGGTCTAATTCATAAAGGGAATGAAACGAGCATTGGCAGCATCAGCAGAGGAGTCACTCATGGAGAAGGGGACTGTGTGGTCAGGGGTTTTTGAAAGTGAGATTTATAGGTAATCTGAAGAAAACTGAGACTGGAGTGAGTTTAGTTTTGTGACACGAGTGGATGCTTCGGATGTGTGACTGTGCTGCTTGTAGCGCGTGTGTGGAAAGGTGGTCCTGCTGTGTGCCCTCCTGGAAGACTCTCTGACCCTGTCTCTGGCCTCCTCCTCAGAGCCCCTGTTGCCATCGGAGTTGCCGCCATGTCCACGGCTGAGATGTTGACTTCAGGCCTGAAGGGGAGGGGCTTCTCTGTGCTCCACACCTACCAGGACCACTTGTGGTGGGTTCAGTGTTTCTTCTGTTTTACAGAGAGCCGAGTGGGTGGAGAGAGCACGGGGTCTGGGTCAGAAGGGAGAGTTTTGGTCCCTGCCCTGACCTTTGGCAAGCTGCTGACCCCACATTAATTTCCTTGCTAACTGTGGAGAAAAGATTTGGGTTTTTGCCTCTTTGGAAAAGAATCACAGAGAACTTTGATTATTTTCTAGGCAAATTGAATCCTAGGCTGGAAGAAGGCCTTAGGGATTGTCTGTTCTGCCTCTCTTACAGTGAGAGTCTGCAGTTTTACAGCTGGGCCGTCTGGCCGTACTGGCCACGCACATTTAGGCATCTTCTGGCCCCAGGACGAGTGCTGGGAAATTCTCACTTCTGAATCCTGATCAAAGCAGAGTTGATCTTCAGGCACCAGGGGGATGACCTAGTCACTTTCATGTTCAGGTTTCACATTCCAGAGCACCTCCCCATTGTGGAGGTTACTCTTTTCACTGTAACAGTTGCTTTCTGGAGCCATATACCAGTTTATTTTCTTGTCATTTTACCAAAGCAGTAAATAGTGCTATTCTCGAAAGCAATGTACCAGGTCTTTTGGCCAAGCATCGCGGCCTGTTGGTGTGGATTCGTCCTTACATTTTTAGCCCAGTCCTGGAGTTACTCATTTACAAGGATTGGCCAAGCCCCGCTTGCTGGAGGTACAGCCTCCTCAGCCTGTGTTTAGCAGATATTGGAGCACTGCTCACTGATGTTCTCTCAGCACTTGGTTTTCTAACTCTTCTGAGAACGGCAGTCAAGGTCACGCTGTCTAAATTGTTTTATCAGCGGCTGCCTCTGCCCCGCTTCCCCCCAACTTTTCAACATGATTATGGTATTTACCTGATCAGAAGAGCCCACACATACACTCCAGCCTCTCTATTAGCAACGCTCACAAGCCTGGCTGCAGCTGTTAGGTGGAACTTTGTTCGATTTATGTGATCTTGCTGAGATGAAGCTTTTCACTTTCACTCTCTGCATGCTCTGCTATGTGGCACCACTGTTTTTTCTGTCTTCCTAAGGCTTAGTGGCATAAAACCATTGTAATCTCTGCTCTGTAAGTTTGATTGCACTCTGATTGACTGCAGAAGCACTGAGTTTGCAGTCTTTGAGCAGGCCCGGTGTGTGTACTGTTACATCCTCTGAGCCTTTGGGTTTATATTTCACCAAACTGGTACTGCAGATGCATTTGCAATCTTAATTTTGTTACTTAATTCAAAATAGTTTTGTTTTTAACCCATATGAAGGTAATACTTTTGGAGACTTCTCTTTAACTACTTTTTCTTTCATCTTTCTCTGATCTGGATGTCAGTTAGTATTATTATTATTGCTTTGGGATAGGGAGGAGGCAAGCATTAACTCTTGCCATTTCAGAGATGAGGAAATTAAGGCATAGGACTTGTCCGGGCTCACAACTGGAAATAGAGTTGAGATGAGAGCTCAGGCTCTCTGCCTTCTCCCGGACACTCTGCTTGTTACCCTCTCTGGACTACAGCTGACCCCCTGACCAGAGTGGGGAGTGCTGTGGCTGCTGCTTGGTGTTTCTGACATGAGCTTTTTCCAGGCGATCTGGAGACAAGTCCTCTCCACCATCCATTGCTCCACTGGCCCTGGATCCCCTAGATCTCAGCGAAGAGAAGGGGTCTGTCCAGGCAGACCCCGCCCTGCAGGGAGACATGAGGCGCTTGACCCTGGAGGGAGAGGAGGAAGAGAGTGGGGAGGTTCAGCAGATGTATGGGGAGAAGTCCCTCTCAGAAGCCTCAGAAGACCCCAGCCCCGGGGGCCTGAACCCAGACCCCACAGATAGCAGGACCCTTCAAGGTACGGCTCTGGGAGTGGAAGGGCCCACCTCCTCTCAGTTTAGGGGACTGGCGCGCCCCTTTCTGCTGCCCACTCGCGCGGCACCAATGCTCTAGGAGAGGAGGGCAAGGCCTTACTTCTGGTGGGGTGGCGCAGCAGCCCTCGGACACCTCCCGGGGAGTCTTTTCCACAGGGGTCACGTTTCCCTGGCCCCAGTCTGCCCTGGCATTTGGGCTGTTGCAGCCACAGAGCCCTGTGAGGTTTCCTCTGGCTCTGACTGCTCAGCCAGAGAAGCATTCACTCTGCTCTCTGGGGTCAGCCCTCTTTAAAGGCTCACTGCTTGAGAGCGTGTGGGAGCTTCGCGACCTGGGAAGGGTTCCTCTGGAGCTAAGGGGTGAGGCGGGGGTGGGGCTGGGCGAGAGCTTCCCTGGACTGCGCCAGGCGCTCTGTGGCCCTCAGGAAGGTTGTGGTCCTTGTCTTTTCCTTGCAGAGCAAATGGATGCACTGTTGCAGCGATGCTTCTTGCAGGCTTTGAAGTGCCGAGTCAAAAAGGCTGAACTCCCTTTGCTCACCAGCACTTTCCTTGGCAGCCACATGTTCTCCTGCTGGTATGGAAGGCATGGCGTGGGTCTCTCTCTTACTCCTTGGTGGTAGGACAGGGCAGAGGGGCAGTTGGCTGAGGGACATGCTGTGGAAAGAGTGGAGTGGAGGGTTATCTGGCAGGTATAGTAGGTCCTGAGTTTTAGTGAAAGGATGTTGAGGAAATGAAGGTTAAACTTCACAAGATTCTCTGAGCACTGCCTCTGCTGTGGTGGTTCTAGGCTTGCTCTCACGATTCGGGCAGCATGTCCTGTCCAGGAGGCGTCCTCGTCCTCTGGCAGCCTCTTTGTCAGGAGGCCTCTTCTGGAACGTTCGACACCTCACACTTCTGCTGAAAAGTAGGCAGGCCAGATTAGGTTGTATCAGGAGGAAGAATTCGTGCAAAACCCCCAGCCCGCCTCCAACCACAGGCCACCAGGAGAGGGAGGGTCACATGTGGATGGAGCCATCTGGGTCCAAATGCCAACTCCCAGGCTGCTGGAGTGAATTTGAACTCGTTGCCGGCCTTCTCTGAGCCCTAATTTCCAGCACTTGTAGGAATGCTGTCAAGGTTAAATAGCCTGACATTTAATAAGCACCCAATCAATATTATCATGTGAGAAGGTTTGCTCATTGATTTTTACCCTAAGACTGAACTTCTTTGTTAGAATTTTGCTTTGTTTTTTAAAAAGTGGTTTTAATATACTTCTCTTCCTATTTACATGTGGGTTTCTTTGAGGCGTCCTATATGAGTGTGGGGTCTGGGGTGTGTGGGGGATGCTTGGTGATTTGTCCTGACCTTGCTGGGTTGCAGGTAACTGAGAGAGGGATCCTGGAATCTTCTCTAGGATAGAGATTCTTAACCTGGGGTGGGCTCTAGAAGGGCCCCTACGAATCGCGCTACTATTGCTTGTCACATTTTGAGAAAAGATGTAAGTTCTGGGGAGAGGGAACTATGACGGCTTTTGTCAGGAACCTCCTCATGAAAACTAGTACCCCTTGGCAAGGAGTTAGCAAACATTTTCCATAAAGAGCCCAATAGTAAATATTTTAGGCTTTGAAGGCCATACAGTCTCTGTTGCAGCTACTCAGCTCTGCCCTTGTAGCGCTAGGGCTCCGTGGACGGCAGATGAATGGGTGTGGCCAGACTCGCCGGCAGGAGGTGGTCTGCCAAATCCTGCTCTGGGTCCGGCTGCCACAGTGAGCTTGGTGTTGGACAGGTTCACCCTGAAGTGAAGCTTTTGAGGCCACGGAACGTTGTCTAGTTTGAGAGGAATCCAAAGTCTACCCAGTACAGTAGCTGCCAACCACATGTGGCTATTTAAATTTAAATGAATTAAAATTAAATAAAATTTAAAATTCAGTTCTTCAGTCACAGTAGTCATGTTTCAAGTGCTTAATAGCCGCATGTGGCCAGTGGCTACCATACGGAGTAACAGATAGAGAACGTTCCATCTTTACGAAAAGGTCTTTGGATGGCCAAACACTAGGGTCTGTATTCCTCTCTGATGCTGCCATGGGCAGAGTTCTGGAGCAGTGGCCTCTTTCCGAGCGTGGTGGAGGAAGGCTGAGGAGAAATGCCCTCCTCTCAGTGTCAGGCAGGTCCCACCACGACTGCTTTGTTAGCGTAACTTGCCTTTTCTGTCTGCCATCAGCCCTGAAGGACGACAACTGGACATAAAGAAGTCAAGCTACAGAAAGGTAAGCAGGTCCCTTCTCTGCATGTCACACAGAGTTGTTAGGGCCACACATGACATGAGCTGGATGGACACTGGAGAAGCCCTGTCTACAGGGCTCAGGCTAGAGTTAAGCTTTTTGATTCCAGGTATAAGGGGGGGAAAGAAAACTCTCCCTGGGCTGAGGCCGTTGGGTGGGCATCCACTCCCCTCCCTCCTTTTGACCCCTTTATGTCTGATCAGAGTTCTGAGAGGCTTCACCAGTCAGTCTCTAGCAGCTTCTCACTCCTGACCCTCAGGGTGGGGGCCTCCCAGTTCCTAGTTCAATGAGGGCAGGGACTGTCACATGTCCCTCCCAGGAGCTGCCTCGCTTGGTGTCTGGCCCATCATAGGTGCTCAGTGTGTGTGTGCAATCGATGAGGTCCCCACCACCGGCCCTCTCTCCCTTAGCTCTCTAAGTTCCTGCAGCAAATGCAGCAGGAGCACATTATACAGGTGA